GACGTGCGTAATTGTGTATTCGGGAGTGGGAGCCTGGGAGTGCGTAAAACGCGAAAAAAGCGCACTCTCACAGTGTCCCGTTTTGTAAAGTAAAGTACGCAGTATTATGTTGCAATTGTCCCCGGTGTCCTCGATGGTCTCCTTCTCGTTAGTCTTGGCGTTCATCAACTCCTTCGGCTAAGCAACTTTCCGTCAATAGGTTTCATTAGGGAGGTTTAGTGTTTAGGGTATCACTGTATGTACTACATATGGGAGTTTTCGAAAAAAGACAGGACCAAATCGGGGGAGGGTTAGGTTTCGGGTCAATGGCAGTACTATCGTATTTTCTATGCATTGGGCTTCAGAGAATAATGTTCCTACTCTAAACTCTAGACCCCAAGTAGTATGGTCCTTAGCATGAGGATCCCTCAATAAGATACCCTGTTCTGAAACCCGGCATTGTCCAAGAAGCGATATTGGCAAAGCGACAAGAATAGGAAGAAGAGCAGCGACGCAACCAACAACAAGATCAGATCGTCAGCCTCATCATCTTCAAAACGATGTCACAGCCGTCATAGTACAATGTATTCTCATCGCCATGGTTTTCCTGGTCATAATCTTCGGTGCCACTCTCAGGAGCAGCATCATCTTCATTGTCACCACTGGCATCAACAACATTGCGAACCACTGCAAGTAACCACCTCATCATCGCAGCAGCATCAACAGTAGCAGCAGCACCCGGTGTCGAGCTACATGCAGTGCCTCACTAATGTCTTTGGACATCTGAAGCTTTGCCGGCCAAAACCCCTGCCTCGAAGATGTTGACGTCTTTAACCTCCTCCTTGTCATCGACAACAACTTCCTTCGCAAACTCCCCTCGCTGCCTGGCAATTCACCCCCTTCAGGCTGAGAATGGGAAGACACGCATCAACTTACATCCTTACTTCATCCGCAGAGGCCGTAAGCAAACGCAGTCCTACGATTTTTGGTTTGACACGAAGTCGTCTTTGTCAGTCAACGTCCCCGGGCCGATAATAAAGCAGTCGGTGGCACACTTCCAGCATGCCCTTCACCTCGCCGATGCCCTGAGCCTGCCAGGGGTTCACGGGAGCACAAACCAAGCGCAGCCTGGAAGAGGACTTGTTCACGGCACGTAAAACCTCTCAACGAGACAAGGGCACCTCGACCTTGCCCTCGAGGAACGAAGTCAGCACCTGCCGATCGCTCTCGGTGACCTCGGTGCACGCAAGAGCAAATAGGATGTGCAGAAGACGTCGGGTCAAAAAGGGTGATAACTAGCGTAACTAACAGAGCACGCAATGCAAGGCTGCATTGTGCTGCATTGCGCAACAACCTGGCGTTTTGCATTAGCTACTTACATCATTGGGATTCTGCTCGAGTCACCAGCTCACCGCGGACTGTGTCTCTGGCGCTCTTGCTCTTCGACACCACGTGCTGAAGCCTGTCGACCTCTGCAATTCGCTCTTGGTCACTGCAGCGAAATTCAGCTTTTAATCAAGAAGGTCTCCTAAAAGGCAAGCATGAGCTCCTAGGAGAGGCACCTGCTTCTTCGAAAGACCCGCGAGATGGCCAGTCTGGACAAAAGCACCCTGGGTAGCCTCAACAGCGCACGGCTTGAAAGGGATTTCAGGGAACCCACTTCGTTCAGTGGTGCATGGAGAAACCCTGGTCTTGCACTAATGACCTTTCATTCGGAGCTCTGCTTCTCTGGCGTACATCAGCATGCGGATAACAACGCAGCAAAAGGCAAAAGGCCACAGCTGTCACCCGGTAGCAGAAACGAGGCAAACCGTTGACCTTCGTGAATTTGTCGTCTCCGCAAGCAACAGGCCGTCCTCGTCCAGCGCGGGGATGGCTTGATCGATCGCACCGATGTCGCCCTGCACCGAGAGCCGACTATGCCCACTTCTGAGCAAGCGTCCCATCCCAGCACTGGCCGCCACTACCCAACAAAGCACGAAGGCTGGCCTTCAACTCGGTCACCTCATCAACGTAGACGGTATGCTCCTGGCAGGAGCAAGGTCGCACCCTGACCTGTGAGTAACATCAAGATACCCTTCATAGTCATAGTCTCCTTCTCGCGCTCGACCCCAGCGCGCTTCATGCTGTCCACTGTGGCTGCTTCGTCGGCCCGCTGCGCCTGGCGTGGCTTCAAACATGAGCAAGCGCCACGTGCACTTCACATTGACCCCCGGGAGTCTGCTCGGCTGCATGGCACCTCAATCTCCTGAGTCAGCTGCGAAATCTGTGCTTCAGCCTTGGACAGCGGGCGCTCATCAGATTGACATGGATTGGCCACGGCAGCTGTAGGTAGCAGGCAGTGCTGATGTCGGACTCGAGCTTCGGCACGGCCTTACAGACTTCAAAATGGTGAACAATCAGCTGTTTGGAGAAAGGCTGCAGCTAGGAGGGTCGGCATGTACACATGAGACCCACAGCTGACAGCACGGGCTCCGAGCGGCTTCAAACTCAGCCTTCCCCTGTCATACACGGCAGCCATGTCGCAAGCAGATTGCGCCTGACCGCAACCTGCCTCCCCGGCTCATTCCAATCACGGTCCAACAATCTTTGTGACTGTGCTGCTATCGTTGCAGCAATGTCGATACACACAGGTTCATTAGCTCACCTCTCGACAAGTATTTGAGGAAGCTGCGCCGTGGGCCCCAGAAGCACACTCTCAAGCTTAAGCCTACTATTGAGGTGCACGGTCCTTGTTGAAATCTTCCAGCTCAGACTTGCAGTGGCACATGAACTTGTCCTGGCACGGTGGGCTTGTGCAAGAGCTCTGCCAACTTCAAAACCGTCACGCTCGAACACAACTTTGCAGAGGTTGTGGTGCAGAAACGCTCGGGTTTACTGGCGCAACAAACCTGCATAGAGTCAATGTTGCGCCGGCTAATCCAGCCAGGAAGGCATAAAGATCTTTCTCAGACTCTCCCTCTTGCTCGATCTTTTCTGACCTGGGTACAAACATTGTGTCACACTGTCTACAGACCTGGACCCTAAAGAGACCCCGCAAGCCACGGGCATCTTCTGCATCATGGTCACGACCTTCCTGATGGTGCGGGTGCTAATGCAGGACTAAAGCCTTTGTCCAACATTTTCCGAATCTCAAATTGTAAACAAGACTGAAGCAAGCGACCAGAAAAACTTCAAACTTCATTCACCATCCAACAACAATGCCTGATAGGATTTGCTGCCACAGCGGTGCTCGTCTTCGTGGCATAACCCGGTCCGAACAGCAGTGTAACCTGAGCACATCATGACTAAGCCTGCAATGCTCTGGTTGTGGCACATGTCTGTGACAACAAACATCGCCCAAAAGCGCAGGGCATCACAGATGCACTCATCAAGCCCAGCAATGGAAATGTCATGCTGGCACAATCCCAATAAGCAGCAAGCGCACACCACGAAGGTGCGCATGTTTGCAGCTGCCATTGACCTGAGCAAACGAAGAAACAATCCAATTGCATGTTTGCCAGGTTCCAAAAAATCTTGCGCACCAAAACCAGTCTCAACCCCTTCCAAGCTGTCGACTTCGTTGGGGGTTGGTAAGAGACTAGCTTCCCACCGCTCTTGATGGAAAAGCTGCCAATCCGTGTTGTCTGCAATTTAGATCGATCTGCCGCTGGATCATGCTGAAATAACAAACAGCAAAAACCGACATGCCAAAACGAATGACTTTTTCTGCCGATGACAGCCTTGATTGCCCCATCAGAACTCACGAGAACTGTCGAGCCCTTGGGCACAATGCGTTTCGTGAAACTCGGGCAATACACCCATCCATGCAGATATCCATCCTCTCTCTTGTGCGGGTGCCCCTTCGCTCGACAGAATATCATCCACGAGGAACCTGATCCAAAAACGCAAGGGTGTTTAGCGTACGGCTTCGGACCAAAAACGAAGAATCGACAGGGCTCAGGGGCCTGAGACGCAACGATCATCAG